GATCGATAATGAGATCGATAGTGAGATCAATGATGAGACCGAATGTGAGATCGATTGTGAGCTCGGTTGTGATATCGATAGTGAGATCGATAGTGAGATCGATAATGAGATCGAAAGTGAGTTCGATAGAGACATCGATAATGAGGCCGAATGCGAGATCGATTGTGATATCGATAGTGAGATCGATAGTGAGACCGAATGTGAGATCGATAATGAGATCGATAGTGAGTTTGATAGTGAGATCGATAGTCAGATCGAATGCGAGATCGATTGTGATATCGATTGTGAGATCAATAGCGAGATCGAATGTGAGATCGATTGTGGGATCGATTGTGAGATTGATTGTGAGATCGATAGTCAGATCGATTGTGAGATCTATCGACTGAGATCGATTGTGAGATCGGTAGTGAGTTCGATAGTGAGATCAATCGAGTGCGACATTGGTCCCTCCCCCCCCTCACCTCCTTATCACCCGAAGGGTGGTCTATGCGGTATATTGTTGGCTCCGCTTGGGAAGCACATTCCGCGTAATCCCGCCAGCAAATCCAGAAACGATGCCCAGACGAGTTGCCCTGATCAGGGATGTGGAGGAGCATGCAGTGAAATAGAAAGGCTGGGTAAGACGTCATACCCTAAGAGGGGGAACATGGAGGAGGAATCGGAGCAGGAGGAAGAGGAAGAGGAGTAGGGAGAGGGGGATGGGGAGGAAAGAGAAGGCAGGAGGAGGAGCAGGCGGATGAGGAAGAGGAGGAGGATTATGAGGAGGAGGAGGAGGAGGAGGAGGAGGAGGAGGAGGAGGAGGAGGAGGGCGAGCATAAAGGCCCGAGGCTTCATGATGCCTCTCGGAGTCTGGTTTTTGGAGTCCTCCTGGGGCGTCTTGGTGGTTTTTTGGCAGTCCCAGGGGATCTCTTGCCCCTGGGTGTCACCTTGGGGACTCTTGGTGGTCTCTTGGGAGCCTCTTGGAGGCATCTTGGAGGCGTCTTGGGGGCCTCTTGGGGCCTCCTGGGCACCTCCTGGGGCCGTCTTGGGGCACACTTGGTAGCCTCGGGAGCCATGGAGAACATCGACCAAATGACGGGCGGTGAGAAATTAGCCCACCACCCCCAACCCCCGATGCCGAAATGTGACCTAAACCTTAGTGAAATCATTGATTTGGGCCTTCTCGCAAGGGCTTCTTGGGGCGTTTTGGGTGCTTCTGGGGGTGGCCTCTTGGAGCCTCTCGGGGGTCTCCTTGGAGCCTCTTGGGGGCAACTTGGGGGCCAAGAGCCTCTCTTGGGGCCGTCTCGGGGCAAACGTGGGAGCCTCGGGGGCCATCTTGGAGGAGGTCGATCAGAAGAGGGAAGCTCCGAGTGTGGCACGGGGGCCCCATTGCCCAAGGTGAAGATTGCACCGAGGGGCGCCAAAAGTGCTTCAGGGGCCCCAGGGAGGGCTGGGGACACGCCCAAGAACCTCCCGAGAAGCCTGTTGGGACGTCCCTTGTCCTGTAGCTGTAGCAATACGAAGGGCGCCAACAGGGCGGTGTCGCGCGCTTCTTCTTTTCCCTGTCAGGTTCCTCCCCAATACACGGCCTGCAGTCGGGATTCTTGCTTAGGCCCCTTGCCAGTCGTGCGGCGTCATGTTTTTTTTATTCTCTTGCACAGGGTGTCTAGAGCTCCGACCACTTTATTTCGGCGTCGTCGCCCCCCCCCCCCTCCCCAGCTGCCCAGTGCTGGTGCTGGTGCTGGTGCTGGTGCTGGTGCTGGTGCCGCTGCTGGTGCTGCTGGTGCTGCTGGTGCTGGTGCTGGTGCTGGTGCTGGTGCTGGTGCCGCTGCTGGTGCTGGTGCTGCTGCTGGTGCTGCTGGTGCCGCTGCTGGTGCTGCTGGTGCTGCTGGTGCTGCTGGTGCTGCTGGTGCTGTTGCTGCTGGTGGTGGTGCTGCTGCTGGTGCTGCTGCTGGTGCTGGTGGTGCTGCTGCTGGTGCTACGGCTGCTGTTGCTGCTGTTGCTGGTGCTGCTGCTGCTGGTGGTGATGCTTCGGCGTCGCACCGCCCCCTCCGCCCTGACCACGTTATTTCTGCTGCTTCTGGTGCTGGCTGGTGCTGGGGTGCTGCGCTGGTGCTACGGCTGTGCTGTTGTTGCGCTGCGTGCTCTGCTGTGTTGGTGATGCTTCGGCGTCTCCGCCCCTCCGCCCGACCACGTTATTTTTGCGTCGTCTCCCCCCCCCCCCCCCCCCCCTCCCCAGCTGCCCGTTTGCCTTGGCGTCTCACGCCCCCTCCGCCCCGACCACTTTATTTCGGCGTCGTCGCCCCCCCCCCTCCCTCCCCAGCTGCCCAGTGCCCTTCGGCGTCGCACAGCCCCTTCCGCCCCGACCACTTTATTTCGGCGTCGTCGCCCCCCCCCCCCCCTCCCCAGCTGCCCAGTGCTGGTGCTGGTGCTGGTGCTGGTGCTGGTGCCGCTGCTGGTGCTGCTGGTGCTGCTGGTGCTGGTGCTGGTGCTGGTGCTGGTGCTGGTGCTGGTGCCGCTGCTGGTGCTGGTGCTGCTGCTGGTGCTGCTGGTGCCGCTGCTGGTGCTGCTGGTGTTGCTGGTGCTGCTGCTGGTGCTGGTGCTGTTGCTGCTGGTGGTGGTGCTGCTGGTGGTGCTGCTGCTGGTGCTGGTGCTGCTGCTGCTGGTGCTACGGCTGCTGTTGCTGCTGTTGCTGGTACTGCTGTTGCTGGTGGTGATGCTTCGGCGTCGCACCGCCCCCTCCGCCCCGACCACTTTATTTCGGCGTCGTCGCCCCCCCCCTCCCCAGCTGCCCAGTGCCCTTCGGCGTCGCACCGCCCCCTCCGCCCCGACCACTTTATTTCGGCGTCGTCGCCCCCCCACCCCCCCCTCCGTAGCTGCCCAGTGCCCTTCGGCGTCGCGCCGCCCCCTCCGCCCCGACCACTTTATTTCGGCGTCGTCGCTCCCCCCCCCTCCCTCCCCAGCTGCCCAGTGCCCTTCGGCGTCGCACCGCCCCC